AAAATTGAAGATAATTTCTCCATCTAAAATTTTGAGATAGTTTCTCTCTCGAAAAATTTTCAAGCATTTTCTCTCCTCTAAACTTAAAATTTGAAATAGTTTCTCTCTCTAAAATTTTTGAAACAGGTTTTCTCTCTAAATCTTTTTAGGTACTTCTCTCTCTAAAATTTGATATTGTTTCTCTTTAAAATTTTAAGATATTTTCTCTCTCTAAAACTTAAATTTTGATAGAGTTTCTCTCTGTAAAATTTTTATATAGTTTTTTCTCTCTCAAAATTTTCAGGTACTTTTTCTCTATAAAACTTCAAATTTGGGATAGTTTATCTCTCTATGAATTTTCAAGTACTCTCTCTTTATAAAACTTAAATTTGAGTTAGTTTCTATCTCTAGAAATTTTCAAGTCTCTCTCTCTAAAACTTAAATTTTTGAAGTAGTTTCTCCCAATAAATTTTGAGATAGTTTCTCTCTCTAAAATGTTTTTAGAAACTTCTCTATCTAAAATTTGATATATTTCTCTCTCTAAAATATTAAAATGTTTTCTCTTTAAAACTTAAATTCTGACTAATTTCTATCTATAAAAACTTTGAGATAACTTCTCACTGTAAATGTTTTTGATAGTTTCTCTCTCTAAAATTAGAAATAGTTTTTCTTTATAACGTTTAATGATACTTTCACTATCAAACATAAAATTTGAGATAGTGTCTCTCTTTAATTCATAGGGGTGATTGTATTTTGTAATGTGGACGTCTCCATAACAGGGTAATATGGGCTGAAAATCAATTTTGGAGGGTAAATACAATGATATAGATTCCTTTATTTTTGGCTCGAAATGAGGAAAACAATTACCAGCAGAAATACTTTTCGGTTCCAAAATTTCAATCCAAATGCAAGAAATGCGTCATCTCCACTAAAAACATTTCTGGAAATGTATTTCCAAGTATCCAAACAACCCTTAAAGTTCTTATACCTAAGTTCTTATCCAAACAACTCCTAAGGTTTGAAAAATCGGTGGGTCAATCAAAATGGTCCAATTTGATTTGGGAATCGGTGGGATCGATCCATTGCTCCCATATAATAAGAACAAGCCGATTTCCCCTAGGAGTAGATCTAGCATCACAGTTATTTTTTTTATCTTTTTTTAATTTTTTCTGAATTTTTTTTTATGTTTTTGACAAGTTACAGTGCATACCGGTTTTTGGGATTAGCAGTCTGGGTCTTATGTGTTGTATTTTTGAACCGTGCTTGTAGCTATTGAATCTCTCTGAAGCTTAGATTGCATCCCCAACACCAACGTTGATGAACGAATTATTGGGACCTCATTTTCACACACCAAAGCAAGATGAGCACATACGGGTATCCTCCACAAATGATATTGTATATTTACTCCCTAAAGGCCAATATTTTTTTTCAATATATAAAATTTTGGCGTTTAGGAATCACCAAGTTACTATAAAAGCATGTTTGAATAGAACGAAATTAAGAATTTTGGATATTTAAAATTCCAAAAAATCTATGGATTTGCAACATCAAAGACTCTTGTAATGGATTTCTTGAAACTCTTGTTTGGATATACAATAAAAAGTTCATTGATTCCTACATCATTTCCATGTCCATTGTTCGATAACAATATTTGATAAAGTTTGTCTTTATAATTTCAATATACTCTCTCTCTCTAAAACTCAAAATTTGGGATAATTTTTCAAAATATTTTGAGATAATTTCTCTCTCTAAAATTTTATATGGCTTCTCTCTCTCTCAAATTGTAATGTACTTTCTCTTCAAAACTTAAAATTTGAAGTTGTTTCTCTATCTAACAATTTGAGAGTTTCTTTCTCAAGTATTTTCTCTCTCTAAAAATTAATATATAGTATCTCTCTAAAAATCATACTTGGGATGTCATTACTCTTCATAAAGAAAAAAAACCCGTTGGCTGCACATGAGTCTATAAAACCAAATACAAAAGAGATGGAACAATTGAGAGATACAAGGTGAGACAAGTTGCATAGGGATTCACCCAAACTTTTGGTGTTGACTGCAACGAAACATTTGCTCCAATGGTTAAAATGAATACTATGAGGGTTTTACTTTTTATTGCTGCCAACAATGGCTAGTCATTGCATCAACTAGATATAAAAGATGCTTTCTTGCATGGAGATTTGAAGTCTACATGACATTTGCTCTTGCTCATCCTCAAGAAGACAATAAAACTCCGGTCTGCAGGGTCAAGAAAGTAATCTATGGATTTTGACAATTTTTTAGGGTATGGTTTGCAAAGTTTAGTCAATTTCTTATTGATATAAGTTTCTCTCAAAGTAATATTGATTCATCCATGTTTGTAAAAAAAAGCAATCCAATAATGTTATTGTCCTTATCGATGTTGATGATATTGTTATAATAGGAAGTGATTCAAATGCCATATAAAATTGAAAGATTACCTTCATATGAAGTTTGATATTAAAGATTTGAAAAAACTCAAATATTTTTTTGGAATTGAGGTTGTTTACTCTCATATAGGTATTTTTATTTCTCAAAGAAAATATGTTTTAGATCTGCGAAATTGGCAAGATAGGGTGTAAATCAATTGGTACTCGAATTGAGACAAATTATAAAGCTTACACCGGCCCAGACAATGTTATGAAAGATACTTGGATATTTTAACGTTTGGTTGGTCGACTTATATATCTCACTGTCACTATACCTAATGTTGCTGATCCGGTTAGTATGGTAAGTCAATTCGTGCATGCTCTCTTCGTGAAGTTGTCAATTAGTTTTAAAGGTATCTTAAGTCATCAATTGGAAGTGGAATTTTAATGAGAAATCATGGTCATACTGATATTATTGCCTTTTCTGATGATGATTGAACAATTATTTCTATAGATAGAAGATCCACCATAGGGTATTGTACATTTGTAGATGGTAACCTTGTAACTTAGACAGTAAGAAGCAGTCGGTGGTTGCTTGATCTCGTCTAGAGGCCGAATATAGAGTCATGGCAACTATAACCTGCAAATAATTTGGCTAAAATTTCTTCTCAGATATATAAGTTGCAATAATTTTCGTCCAATGGTTATGAATTGCGACAATCAAGCTGCTCTTCATATCACATCAAATCCAGTATTTCATGAACGGACTAAGCACTTAGAAACAAATTGTCATTTTGTAAAAGAGAAAGTTCAAGCCAAATAAATTACTACTCTCTTTGTCGGAAGCAAAAATCAACTTGATAATATCTTTACAAAGGCCACAAGCAAAGTGCAGTTTCAGGAAATATTAAGCAAGGTGAGCTTGATAGACATCAAAGCATCAACTTGAGGGGGTGTTGAAACAGTGTACAACTACCCAAATATCTTACTCGGTGGATAGCTTATACAAATCCCTTATTTTGGATAATTAATTGTGTAGAATATATTTGTGATAGATTTAAGAGATATTTAGAGAATTAGTTTCTAATTTATTGAGATCTTACATCATCTATATAATGTTTGGTAAATGAAATAATGGGTACAAGTGAGTAACCCTTCAACCGTGGATACAGTACCTCATCTTGTAGATGCCTAGCACACATATAATAAACAAACAATATATTTTAATAACAAAATTTGTGGGAATTATAAACATAAATTTCTAAAATAAAAAAGAAGCCTCAGCAAGAGGGGTTAGAAACTTAGTTGTTGTTATTAACATAAAAAATTACAACTAATCCATTGGCAGGGTTTTCTTTAAGGGTGGCAATAGGTCGGGTTGGGTCCCTCTTCGGACCTGGCCCCAAAAATATAGTGTTAGACTCGGACGTTGACTCAATTGAACCCAAAAATTATAATGTCTATGTATTTAATTGTATTTAAATATGGGAAAGCTTTCTATGATCTCCCTGCAACATAGAAGTTATATCCTCCCCTTTATCCATCCATCCATTTTTGAATGGTGGGCTAAGATTGCCCCAATCACAATGTACATCTCTACACTGTTTTATTTTTAATTTTTTTCTACTATTTTGGCACCAAATTTTGGATGTCTATTCTTCTATTAAACTAGCACTAA